TTATGGTTGTGGTAAATCTTTAGTTTCGTGAAGCACCTCAGCTGAGGCTGCTTGCTTCAGACGTTTTCAGCCAAACCTCTGTATCCACAAGAAGCCAAGCTTTCTCAGCTCTTATCTGACTCGCCTTATACGACAGTAAAGCCACCGTTACTTCGGCGCATCCGTGATTGATTGATTGATTGAATGGTTTATTGTCAACATTAAAAGGACTGGATAGTCCCGCTACAAATCCGTGCGTCAAGGCGCTAGTTTGTTTTTGCAATGGCACCGGAAGGAAGCGAGCAGACGGCGAGAACCGAACAGAAGGTCAACGGGGAGCGGGTGCCGGCCGCCGACCGCCGGCCGCACCCCCTCACCGTTCCGGAGCAGGAGCAGGCGAGCGCCTGGCCGGGTAGGCAGACCCGCTCGGCGGGCGCGCACGGCGGCCGGGCATCGTCAGCCGGCTGGAGAGAGATAGACATTGTCTTGGACGAGCGGCGCAGCACCGCGCAGCACTCACCGGCGGCCCCGTTGGTCTTGGCGGGCGGAGCCGCGTTCATGTACTGCTGCGAGGGGAACTCGATGACCTCGTAGTCCGGGTCCGGCGGCGGCTCCGAGGGCGGCGGCGGCGGCGGCGGCGGCGGCTCGGGCCGGGAAACGGCCATCCGAGCCTGCTGTTGCTGCTGCTGGTGCTGCGACAACGTGGACAAAAGTTAAAATGGGAGAGAAAAGAGAAGCAGAGGGGCTTCTCAGACCAGGACCTTCTGTCAATGACGCTCCCTAAGTTAAAAGAAAAGACAAATTTGCAATTTGAAGATATTTAATTGTTGAAAGACAAATTTTTTGAGTTTAATGAAGCAAGTTTTGTCGAAAGTAGAAAGTGTCACGGAGGCAGTAACTAATTTGTCATGTACAGTGGTGAGGCCGATACTTACATACCACGCCGGCATACTTCTGGCGGACCGGAACTTGGCGTTGTGGTTCGGCATGGTGCCTCCCGCCGCGGGGGTGCCGCCTCGCCACGATGAGTTCTGCAATCAGAGCAAAGCGCACGCGAGCACGGGCCCCGTCAGAGAAAGGCCTGCTGCCGGCTCTCGCCGTCCGGGGCGTAGAGTAGAGTAGAGTAGAGGTTAGGGTGGCTCCGCCGGGGCCTTCTTGTACTCCCCCCGGTTCGGCGCGCCGCGGGTGCAGCCGCGCGTGGTGCTCCCACTTTAGCGGCCCGCCTCGCCGCAGTCCGCCGGGGGGGGGGGGGGGGGCGACGGGCGCGGCAGATGTTCGAAATAGCCCCGCGGCGGACTCGCGCGCGGGGGCCGCGGCAGCTCGCCCGCGAGCCCCCTGATTCCGACTCCGTCCGGCCACTGCCTTAGCGGAGTTGGCCCTCTTGCCCGTTCAGCCCGTCCGTCTCACGCTCCTCCTCCTTTAACCCCTGCCCCGCACACTTCCAGAGGGCGCCTCACCGGAGGGCCTGAGGCTCGGCTCGCTCGTCCACACGACCCTCCTTGCGGCCACCATGAGCCACTGGTTCGAAGCGGGACGCCGCGGGTTGGCCGGCCTCCAATTGGCCGGGCGGTGCCATCCCTTCCGCATGGACCGCCCGGGCGCCACCCGCGCGCCGCAGCCGCGGACAACGAGCGGCGATGGGGCGGGGCGGCCCGAGGGGCAGGCAGAAAGCGTGAGCCCCCGTTACGTCAAGTCTCGATCAGACGAATGATAAACGAGTACCCATCCCGGGCAGGGCCCACGCGCCTCACCCGGACTTTAGGACCAGCGCAGCGCCAGCGCGGACAAGTGGTAAAACGGCCCCACTACTTTTCCATTTCGACTCAAGCCCAAACGAGAACTGCCCGGCTGCTAGGATATTCTTCGATTAATTATTTTTGGTGGTGTCCCGCGTGGCGCGCGGCAGGGGCGGCCCCGCGGTCTCGGCTCGCGTTCGATTTGCTTGACCGGCCTCGTGTGCTGGGGGTAACGCGTCGAAGACCGCTGCCCCGGGGCCCGGGGGCGGGGGCAGCCGATAAACAAACAGGAGGTCCAACGACCGCGACCCGCAGGGGCTGGTGTTGAGACACGCGGCTGGGGAACAATAGTCCATGACCCGCGGGCGCAGACGGAGGCCTCACCTGCATGATTCAAGTCGGCCGCTGCGGCTGCAGGTGCGCTCAGCTGGCGGTCTGGGACGGGCCGCAGGTGGGACTCATGCCCTGTGGGTGCGGGAGC